TTTTTTGGTCATTTCTCTCATGACCGTTTCTCCGGCTTCGGTGATAAATTTTTCAAGTTCTTGGACTTTTACTTGCAAGTCCCCGATTTCTTCTTCCTTTTTTTTTATTTCGTTTTGATATTCTTCACTTTTTTTTTTATTTCGGTTTGATAAGAAGATACATCTAAATTTCTTCGTTGTCTATAAAGGGATTTTTTATTTATATGTGAAAGTTTTAATGATTTACCCATGTTGAATAAAAAAATGACAAATATTAAAAATCGCGAAAGAACTAAAAAAAAATGACAAGTGTAAAAGTTGCGAAAAGAACTAAAAAAAAAAAAAAACTTTGAGATGCTATTTAAATTACGTCACGGATCATATGATTTATTTACTATTGTTCGTAACTCGATTTTAATAGTATGTATATGATTACCATAAATAGTGTTCGATAATGAAGATCATGAAGATCTTCGAATCCCACAATTTCAACATTTCATACATTTCAATATAAATAAGCACAGAAATCATCTATCAATTCCTCAGTGTTCTTGTGAAGTAGACGATGTCTATAGGCTGACTTGTGCTCCCCATGTCTTCGGATAGGGCGACTTTTGATCTCCAAGTAGTCTAGTCTTTTTCATAAGGTTTATACGCTCCCTCTTGTGAAGGAGACGATGTCTATAGGCTGACTTTGTCGTTCAATAAAGGTCGACATTTGATCGCCAAGTAGTCTAGTCTTTTTTCATAAGTGGTAAATTTTTTTTTATATTAAAGCGGGTGGGTGATAGTGGGAAATGTATGGTTTACTGAAAATTATAAACAAAATATTTAATTCATGTAATTCAATATTGAATAAAATCGCTCAACCTGTGCTTTCATATAGTCGTTCCAATTAAAAAATGTTGTTTTGATTTGTTTTTAAATTTGAAAATCGAAATGAAATTTTATTGTATTAGCTTTTTTTAAAATAATTATGAAATTAAAAAATTTATTAAAAACAATTCTACCACGTCGGACGCGGACCAAAAATTTGTTCGATGGTTTTTTTACGGATGGTTCAAGTGCAGGGCGTAATTCTCAATGTGATATGTTAGTTATTTCTTTAGCAGTTGTTTATCTTTGGAAGTGAATTTACGATTTGAGGCACCATCGAATCAGACCTATAATTGGAGAGAAGACGAAAATTTCTATCCTCAGAATATTCCTTGTGGTGAAAAACTTGTAACAAGCAAAAAAAAAAAAAATTAAAAATAAATGTGTAGGTTCCTTTTTTTTTTTAATACATTCAGAATCACTTTCTTAGCTTTAAATGTTTAGGTTTTTACTCATTTAAACCATTGATATTTATGCAAATTTTTTTTTAGTTTATTGTTTTATCGACATTTTTTGATTTATTAATATTTTTTAAATGTTTAATCAATAAAAATTTAAAATATATATACATACACATTTAAGAAGACATCTATTTAAAAAGATATATCATAATATAGTCGAAAAAGCACATCAAAAATCAATTTCTTTCTAGAAAGCAAGTAATGTACGTGGTTTAGAAGGCATTTACTAATCTATCTATAAAACGAATTTTTTTTTTAAAAAAAAAAAATTCATCGCGAAAATCGAATTTCTGATGATCACATACAAAGCACGTGATTTTGCAACGAAATTCATTATTTTAAAATTTTTTTTTTAACTTTGAACACTTCATAATTTTCTATTTCGAAAACACTCTGATCCAAAATTCTTTTTATATAATGTTCATGTACATATTCTCCGCTAAATATACGTAGATCCGTACCAAATCCAATACCATAATGACTATCCCCGTCAAAAATAGCAGCGTACGTATCTTTAACCCTGCTAAGAATGATATCATCGATCCCTTCCCTACTTTGATAAGATTTAAATGAAAATATAAAACTTTCATCTGTTACAATCCATTTATTTGTACTTTTCCACGGTTCAGGATTATACCCTCCAATAATAATATTTGTTTTATCAACCTTTGCCAAGACTAACGTTGGTCCTTTATCATTACATAATGAGGCAAAGGTTTTTAGATCCATGCCATCTCTACTTCCTCTTGCCAATAAGGTGAAATTATTATTTAGATTTGAATTTTCAACACCTCCTTGGTCATCTCCATCAATCCAACGTGATATACGTTTAAGTTGCGTATTATCGATTAATTTGGAATTAAATTTAATATCGGGAAGTCGAAATCTTGGGAATGGTGAAGGAGATCTATCTTGAGTTAACGGTCTTACAGAAACTTCGTCTAAAGCTTCGGGTTTAACTTCAGAAGCCGGTTCCCCCCTCCGATACTTTGGTTTAAAAATTGAAGAATTTCTTTTCAAAGTCGTAGGATCCCTTCTCAACTTACGGGGATTTTCGTTAGAGGGTGGGGCAAGATTTCTCATTAAATAAAACTTTTCTAACTCATCAACCTTCGATTGGGTTAATATTTGTTTTAATGGACGAACTTTAGTAAAATATTCATCCGAAGGTATGGTAGAAAATCTAATATATGGAATGAAATCTTTTATGCGTTCTTTTAATACATCAAAATCTAATTCTTTCCATTTACTTTTATCTTGTTCCATTATACAAGGTGTTTGTTTTATCCCCCATTTAACTATATTTTGCCATATTTCGGCCTCTGGTAAACTGATATCGTCACGTTTAATTAATTCCAATAAAAAGTCCTTTTTTATTTTATAAAAATATCTTGATTTAAATAATAATGCAGGATCTTGTTCAATTAGGTCACAACAACTCACTAGTAATTCTGCGAAATTTTCATGGTTTGAAGAAGTTTGATGTACTTTAACCAAATTTTGTTTAATCCATTCGAGTTGTTGATCAATAAGGTACCTTTGAAGGTAATTTACCATGCAAAGTAGGCCCAACTCATCAGCTGCGATGGTCAAACTAAAAATGAATTCATTATTATAATCATCCAAGGAAAACTTCCCCGTATAAATGTACCTACAATTGAAGCAAAGGGAACGAAAAAAAAAAGAGGTAGTCAGAATGGATTTACTTGTTGATTTCTCACGAGGTACTCACTTTAGGCATACTCTGAAAGCTCTTGGAGAGATATCGGTGACTTCCAAGTTAATACAATCACCTCCTCTGTTAAATAAGCTATTTCTTCTTTGTAGATATTCGTTTATAGATTTTCGAAAATATTGCGACCTAGATTTTAAAATTAACGAATGCGCTTTAAAACTTTCTTGATTAACTTTAATCGTTACATTAGAATCTTCATTGTTCTCATAAAGTGATTCAATATCTTGTAATAAGAACGATGTTAGATCCGCTTCAGTCATTTTTTTATGCTTTGATAAATTATTATAATGATTTTATTATTGAATTGAATGAATGAATGAATGATGGTATTTTTTTTAAAAATAATAATAATAATGAATAAATAAAACGAATGATGAGAAAAATTGACGAAAAAAAAAAAAAAACTTTACACTTTTTTGTACCCAAAAAATCATAAAAAAAAAATTAATATAAATAGAAATATAATAATAACAAAAAAAATGCAAATGAATGGTCGAATTGCGGTAATCTGCATGTAAATCCGGAATTCTGATTCCGGGACAAATGATGTAAGAAAAAGAGATGTGACAAATAAGGCTAATTTATTTTAATTGCGATACATATAATAATAATATTACTATAACAAGTAACAAAATAAAACTATTATTATCTTTTAATAAATATTTTAGGTCATTTTCACCTGATAAACTTCGTAATTTGTAATCGAAAAATTTTTCTCAATCATAAGTTTCTTTTCATAATTTACATGTTCGTATATCCCGGAAAATAATTGTAGATCACTAAATCCGATATCATAATTACTATCTCCGTCAAAAATGGCGACGTTTGCATTTTTTATTCTACTCAGGATAATATCATCAATTCCTTCCCTGCTCCCATCAGATTTGAAAGAAAATATAAAACATTGATTCGTCTCAACCCACTTGTTCGTGCTACTCCATGAATTGGGATTATATCCTCCGACGATAACGTTGGTCTTATTAACTTTTGCCACCACTATGGTTGGACCTTTATTATCGCATCGTGAGTGAAAATCATCTCCTGACATGCCATCCCTACTTCCTCTCGTCAATAAAATAAACCTATTTATATTATTTCTGTTACCACGAATTACTACATTATGAATCCCATCAATCCAACGTGATATACGTTTAATTTGATTTCTGTTAATTAATATCGAGTCGAAATCTATGTCGGGACTTGGGGATAATAAACTATCTCCGGAAGACGGTGATTCGGTTCTTGCATAGATTGACGTAGAGATTCGTAAAGGAATCCTCGATTCATCTTTCGTCTGTTCATTCGTCGGTTCATTCGTCTGCTCATTCGTCCGGGCCGAAGAAACGGACGTGACGTCATCGGGCGTCGGAAATTTTTTAGGCATTTTAGACGTAGCACTATCATCACTACCGTTACAGTCATCGGGCGCCAGCTCCTTTGGTTCCGCAGCTAGTTGATCTATAAAAACCTTTGATGAACGCTTCGGCAAAATTCTTGGTGGTAGCGCATATGTTGGTGGTAAACTATTTGGTACGATATAATATCTTTCTAAATCTTCTTTCAATTGTTCTGGTAATACCATGGCAAAAGGACGAATTTCTTCATAGTATTGGGCAGCGGATATGGTAAAAAATCGAATGTGCAAGATTAAATTACTTAATCTTCTTCTTAATAGCATAAACACCTTTAGATCCCAATTTTTAATATCTAATTCGAAGATAGGAGGTTCCTGCTGAATCCCCCACTTGATCAAATATTTCCAAATATCAATTTCTCGCAAACCTAATTCATTCCGTTTCAATAGATCAATTAGATTCGATTCTTTTAATAAATAAAATTGCTCGGATTTAAAAACTAATTGAGGTTCTTCTTCAATTAAGCGAACGCAATAATTCCGTAAATTTTGAAGTGATTCTCTACCATATGATGCTTGATAAATTTTAATTAGATAAGTTCTAACCCAGTCTGTAAAATTCTCGACAATATAATTTTGTAAGTAATCCACTAATTCGTAAAGTTGCAATTCATCGGCCGAGATCATTAAGTCAAGCATGAATAGCACGGATTCTTGATTTGCGATTTCATTCAAGGAAATGGTTCCCATGTAAATATATCTAAAAACATTTTATAAATTTGTGACGGGTTATTAGGTTATTAAAAGTGGCTCAACAAAAAAAATAAAAAAAAAATAAAAAAAAGGAAAAAGGAAAAAGGAAAAATAAAAATAAAAATAAAAAAAAAAAGGTTTCATTTATTCTTATTTTTTTTTTTTTTAAAAAAAAAAAAAAACTCACTTTAAAATAACTTTAAAAGCATCAGCAGAGATATTAGGTACTTCCAAAGTGATAAAATTTTCTTTCCTAAATAATTTGTTGTTCCTTTTAAGATCCTTTAAGGCATCCTTAAAAAATTGTGACCTGGCCTTTAATATTACTGAATGTGCATTGAAACTATTTATATCGAACCCTCTACCAATTTTTAGGATGACGTTACAATCCTCATCGGACTCATGAAGTTTCTTAAGATCCTTCAATAAACCATGCGTTAGGTCCAGCGTCATTGTCATCATTCATTAAACGGAAAGAAAAAAAAAATTTAAAAAAAAAAAAATAATAAAAAAAAAAATTTTGGAGAAAAGTGACGATGATTAAATCAAATTTTATTTTTAAAAAAAAAATAAGTCACACAACTATCATCATGTAATATTTTTTTTTTTTTGCCGTATCACATTCTACGCACAAAAAAATTCCTGAAACGATTCCATATTTATGTCATTGTTTATGAAAATCACTTTTTTATTGATGATATCTGTTAAGGATTCTTTTTTATTGCATCAAAAAAAGATTTAAAACAACCTAGTCAAATTAGCTAAAAATAATATCATTGTTAATTTTTTTCCCCAACTAAAGAAATTTAGAACATCGCATTTTGCCAAAAAAAAATATTATACTAATTTTATACTAAACCAGCAAATATTTTGTTATGATATGAAATTACCCAAAGTATTACTCTTTTACTTAAATTAGTATAAATTTTTGTGAAACCATGCTTCAATCTTTGTAATAAATAAATAAATAATAAATTTCAGCTTCCAGAACAGATTTATAATGCCTGGACCGACATTACTGACGATTTCTTTATCAAGGATCGGTCGGATGATCCGCGGTACCAAAAGAAAAAAAAGTTTTGCGAAACGTTCTCATTGATGTGATCTTTTCTTTTAAGAAAGGCTGTATTCTGATTTCGGATCTTTTCTAAATGAAAAACGGATCGCATCGGATTTTGGTTATGAACAGCACCGAGTTTAATAATTTCCTTTTATAAAATAATTATCTTTAACTATATTTTATTCTAAAAGGCGGTAAAATAATTTAAAAAAGGTTAAAATTTTAATTTCCGAACTTAAATTTTTTAGTCCTATTTACGTCTATTCTCCATATCACGCTATTTCATACGACTCTTAATAAACATATACCATAAATGTCATTCATTTATTTACCACAAGTCAAATTCCCTAACGGGGTTAAACTCGAAAATTTAAGTTAAAATCATTTGTATTTATTTTTATCAAATAGTCATTAATTAATGAAAACTGCATCTGATCCTCAAAACTACCACAAAAGATCATCGTCTAAGCATCATGAAAAGCGTGGAGTGGTTTTCATGAAAATTTTTTTTTTTTTTTTTAGAAAGGAAATGCATTACCATCAACATTTCTAGATGTGATTGGTGATCGTTCTTTCATTCCGAAGTATGAATATAAAGCTTGATTAGTTAAAGCAATAAAAAATTCCTTTGAAATTCAAGCACTTACTCTTCCAAAGCGAGCAGCACCTGCTCCATGAATTCCCTTCTCAACCGAATCATTTAAAATCTTGATATATTCTTTTTCAAGCCAATAACCTCCATCCTGAATATTAAATCGTAAACCATTTATCGAATTTCTTTCACATTCAAATAAAAAATTTTCCAGAGATTCTAACGTGAACGTGAAAGAATTTTGTAGATTTAACGTTTTTAAGGTTTTTGGAATAACTTGCCCAAGATTTTGCATCCACATGTCAATATTCAAATCTTTGGTGTTTTTCAAATATAAATTCTTCAACATATCACATGAACACAACAATGAAAGTATCTTTGACGCTGAATTCTCGTTAAAAATAATTTCAAGATCCTTTAATTTAGGACCATACGCTACAATGGTTGATATCAGTAACGAAAAATTTTCCGGATCTGATTCTTCCTTCCATAATAAACACAGGATACTTTTAAAAAATTGGCCAACCCTTCGTTATCCTCTTTACAATGAAGGATCAACATGTCAACACGTGAAAATATCTTGCTAAAAATCCTCAAAAATATCCTCTGGCCACCAAGTAAAACATTGTAAAACTTCAAGATGAGATCCTTTCGGAATGACATCTGATAAATCGAATAGAAATGGAACAGAAACACTCGTGTAATTACAATCTTCCAGATTTATATTATATATTACGATCAACCACGTGCTTTATCAACTCCTTGTATACTTTCAACTTGAACGTGACAAAATATTGATTTTTCATGTTATGATGAATGATCCATTCCTCAAGTGATAACCATAAATCAGGTAGATTTATGTGTTTAATGAATGAAAAAATAATCAAAATACGGTACCGTCACAGCTTTTAAACATAAAGGCGGTAACACATTGGAATTAACCAAGCGTTCCCTTACATTAAACGGTAAAAGGCGCACGCAAAACTTTAAAAATTTATTACTCGAGTATTCATATCTAAAAGGTTCCTTCCAAATAATCAAGACGGCGTTTGCACACCAATATCTATTAACCAAGAGGCATCGGAATAATGTGGAGCAACATTCCGATACGAGCTTGTCAAAAATATTTTGTAGAGTCTCGGGTGGAAGATGATACATTTTTATTTTGAGTGTGGCTAAAAAAATTTTTCCCAAGTTTTATAGGATTAAATAATCACCCAACTAGGTAAGCTCGTTTTTCACTGCGCCATAACAATGCCCAACAGATATTTATTTATTTAACTTTTTTAAATCTTTCTAAAGCAACGACCCTTGCTTTTTGATGATCAACTATTGGCTTCGGATATCTAAAGGGGAAAGGGAAAAATATTGAAAACTCAAAGTCCTTTAATTAATTTCTTTTTTTTTTTTTTTTTTTAGAAAAAAAGATACATCAATATACTGTTCATACCCTAGCTTTTTGAACTCGGATTCATTCAAAACCCCAAAAGGATTGTGTATTTGTTTAGAATCAAGATGCTTTAATTCTGGAACCCACTTACGAATATATTCTCCGGTTGGATCAAACTTTAATAGAATTTTTTAATTCAATTAAATATTAAAGTAGAAAGAAAGAAAGAAAGAAACTTACCTTCTCACTTTGAGTCGTTGGATTGAAAATTCTAAAATATGGCTGTGTAATTTTTTTTTTTTTTTTTTTTTTGAATTCGGTCATACATTATCCAAGAAAGATTAAAATTTAATATGTTAAAATTATTCCTTTTCAACCATACCTGCGCATCCGATCCAGTTGAAGCACACTTTGTTTAATATTTTTATAACATTTGAAAATTAATAACAAAATCTAATTATTTAATTTTGAATCATAAAAAAAAAAGGGGCTTTTACCCATTGCCATCCACCATTATTGTTTGCAAAATCTCCATCAATCAAATGACTCATAAAATATCTTTCTCCTTTCCTCCAATCAATTAATAAGTCTATTACGAAAAATAAAAAAATTTAGAATATATATATATAAATAAAAAAGAAATAGAAAAAGTAATAAATAATACCTTTGACCAAAAACATGGCAACGATCATCCTAGCTCTGTTATGCATCCAACACATTCCATTAAGTTGTCTCATCCCAGCATCAACAATTGGATAACCAGTTTTACCTTGACACCATCTCCTAAAATTTTCTTCATCATTATTCCATTCAATATTTTTCATATGTTTCTTGAATGGCATATTTTTGCATACATGAGGGAAGGCGACGAGAATTTGTCTGTAAAATTCTCTCCAAATAATTTCTTTGATCCATTTAACGATTCCATTTTTACCAGTTGATAATTTATTATTATTGGATATAAAAGCTTTATAAACGCATTGCCTTGCAGATATAATTCCTGAAGCCAAGTAAGGTGATAATGATGACGTTCCATTTTGCGAGAGAATGTCTCTTGCATCTGAATATTTTGAGACCTTTTGCAAGAGAAATTTCGATAATAAAGAATGACAGTATTGCTCTCCTGCTGGAAAATTGAATCGAGTAATCTTTGCTAATTCTGAAGAGATTTCGAATCCTGGAATTGAAGAAGGAACCTTAAAAGAAAAGGTTTCCAGATATGAATTACGTATAGATACCGAATTTGGAAATGGAATTGGTGATGATTCAAGAATCGAAAGATCCGATTCAACATGACGAAACCAAGAATTCTTGAAAGGCGTATACACCCTATATGGTTTTCCCTCCTAAGAAACATTTTTTTTTTTTTTTAGTATTATAGGTGTAAAAAAAAAAAAAAAAAAAATTTACTTTAAATGCATGTAATGTATGTACCTTCGTCTTTAACAGCCCCGGTTTCACAATACATTGAGAATGCAACATTTCGACTTTGATTGAATTAGACGTTGCAGAATCAAAAACTTGCTTATCTCTCTTCATTTCATCCACCTTTAAAGACAAATTAATCCTTTAGAAAATTTCTTGTAATATGAGTTGCGCCACGTTAATTTCTCACCTCATATTCTATATTGGCGAATAGATGACTTATTCTCAATCTTTTACACCAATCGATCATAACACTGGGAACATCGCTAGCATTATCAACGTTTTCTATAATCAGCGGAATATTTAACTCGTTTAATGATTTCTTTAATTCTTTTAAGTTTCGCAGCCAAAAATCCACTCTGGTTGGAGCTACATCATGTGACCTCCATTCCTCCGGGGAAATCAGGTATATAGCGAATACATAATTACTTTTTTCGGATTTCGTAAAAATTATGGTTGAGGCTTTATGAAGTGCTATATTATCTTGAATTCTTAAATCCGTTCTAAACCACATCAAGCAATTCTCAATGGGAATGTCGATTGACTGATTTGATTCATGTTTTTGTTTTTTAATTGAATCGTCAGGACTTAAGGTTGTTCGAGTCTTTCGTTTCAACGGCATTTTTTTTTAAAAAAGAGGAGAGGAGAGGAGAGGAAAGATGGTTAAATGTCAACCTGGAATTTTTTAAATTTTTAAGTAATCATTCCTTCATCAGAAATCGATCGAAATATTAATATCGTAAACACTGTTTCACAGGATTAGCTAAGGGAGGGGTGTAGACCCTTATCGTCCAACCCCCATGTATAAATAAATATTTTTAAAGTATATATCACGTGAAATATACAGTTGCGGTTTAGGATAAAGTTCTACACCCCTCCCAAGGTTAAGGATGCCCCTAAAAGGTTAAAAGGTTAAAATCGTGAATCACGGAATCACGTGAATTTTACGGTGTAGTCACATGTAAATTTGAATTATTAATTAACCTGACAACATTTCAAACATGGCGTACATGGCCTATACATTCTAATATTACATTCTAATAATAGCTAATAAAGCAATTGGACTAGGGCAAGGCTTTCCTTGTTCATTAAAATTTACAAAAATGTCAAAAGGCGCATTAACGATTTTCAATTGTTCATTGATTGAATGCAAACGGATTTTCTTGGATTTTAATAGCCAATGAAGTTAGAGCTTGCTCTTATCCGAACATCTCCCTGCAAGTTTATTAAAGATGTTCCTTTCTGGTACGGACCGTATTTTTATTTATTAGGGCTGTAGCACTAAACAAATGTTACCAAACAACTAATTAAAAAAAAAATTGCCTTATTCAAAATTATTTTATGGTAGACAAAGGTCTATAAGTTCTTCTTACATTTTCCTTTTAACGAAAAAAAAAAAACTCTTTTTTTTAAAAAAAAAAAATAAAAATAAAAATAATATAATAATATAATAATTTTTTTTATATACGAAATGGCTACCAAATATGTTAAATTACCTACAAATAATAATAATGTTCTACCGACGACAACACCACAAAGACAACCCTCATCATCATTTTTATCAAACATAAGGAAGTATGTTTACCTCCTTATTTTGATTACGTTTTTCGCTTTATTCGCTTTCTCGGATGAGCTATCATCGATATTCATTCTTGATAATCCAGAAACTTGTGACAAAATGATGTCTGGAGTTTGTGTTACTGTTGTTGAGAATTCAGAAACATTCATTCCTTTGCCTAAAGATGAAGAAAAGTACATGACATATATTCCTCATTCCGGTTTTCATAATCAAAGGATCGCTTTAGAGAATGCCGTTTATTTGGCGTGGTATTTGAATCGCACGTTAATCTTACCTCCAATTATCTTGGGAAATCGTTTCGGTTGGAGAGATTACGATAAGTTATTGAAACTTATATCTTCACTCAAATCGGACAAATCCAACGTGGAAGAGGAATGTAAAAAGGACTTTCGCCCAAAAAGATGTGTCGAATTTCATAAATCATATATGTTAACAACATGGAAGGATTTATTTAATATGACATTCATTGAGAATCATGTTAGGGTAATTTACAATCACAATGTAAATCTAACCCACATCATTAAGGATCAATTGAAAATCGATGATGAAGTGAATGATGTCATTTATGATAAATTGTACCCGGGATATCACAACTTCTTTGAATACTCGGTTCCTCCGGAAAAAGTTGCACCAATCGCGGATGGGAGTATCTTGAAATATTATATCTTGGATGAATTTAAGAAACAACCGCAAAAACTTGTGGTTTTTGGAAGTTTATTCGGTCCCGGTACCGTTATAAGGCAATCAACCACAAGTCAAAATTTTTATCACGATACACAATTCTCAATTACTCCGAATAATGAAATCATGACAAACGCAGCAAAGAGAATTAGTGATAGGATGGGAAGTACGTTTAATTATATAACGTTTCATGGAAGGGCTGGGGATGGGGAATATAAACTTTTGGCACATGAACGTATAGCAATGGTAATAAGTAACCTTAAACGTGATATGCCTGATTTTGATTCGGTTGACATGAATCAATATAGAAATTTATCGGAATCAGAAAAACACAATCTATGTTTCGAAAATCTTACTTTACCTGAAGATAAAACGACTTTTTCCCGATTTACTCGTATTTACCTCGCCAGTGATATAGACAAAACTGCTGAACCTTTGCAAGCAGTGTTTGAAACCTTTCCTTGCGTCTACATGATGTCAGACTTTAAGGAAGAATTAGAACCTTTACATAAAATAATTAATAGTGTTGACAATCAGCAGATGTATAAATACGTTGTACCTTTTGTGGATTTAATGACTGGCTCGAACGGGAGGAGACTTTATACTATGGGCAGAAGTACATTTGCCGGTTACATGTTGAGATATCATAGAATAATCGAAAAGAAACATAAAAGTAGTTTGAATGTAATATAATTTTAGAATAAACCAATTTCTTATTTGTATACTTTTTCTTTTTTTTTAATAATGAACATGCGGTATGACAATGACAAAAGGTTCACGACAAATTTAGAAATTTTATTTAAAGGATTCATACAATAGCTTACACTGCTGTAAGGGGTAACGCATTAACGTTGCAGTATAACAATGTGATGTGGCTATCATATTATAAATATAAATGCCGTATATGCTTGCACCGTAATCAATAAACAATGATGATAATAATCAGTAGCTATTCAGAAAAACCTCAGTATTAGTGGCAATCACAGAATATATTAAAAAAATTTATCAACAATTATCTGGATTATTTTAATTAAAATCCTAAAATTTTTTTTTTTAAATTTTGGTCTTAAGCTTTACAAACAAAAAAATTTTTTTTTTTATTATTTTTAAATCAAAAAATATTGAATAATATTATTAATATACTGTATATATTAAATAATAAGTTATAATTAATCTTTTAATAAATAGTAATATTAGATATATATATATAATTATTCTATATAAAAAAATATTAATGTAAGATTATATAAAATATTTATAAATAAAATAATAATAAAATAAAAAAATTAAAATTTTAATTTTAATTTAAAAAAAAAAAACTTAATTTTATTATTTTAAAATATTTTATTATATAAAAAATTATATAATTATATTTAAATAAAGGTTGCATATTTAAACTTGTTTTAGATTTGTAGTTTAACCTTTAATTTGCTAATTTTTTATAATTATTATAATAAAATTTTTTTTATTTAAAAATTAAACTAATATTATTGTTAACATAAATTAATTAAAGTTTACTTTTTAATAAATTTATAATAAATAAAAAAAAAGTTGTGTTTTAGAATTTTTTAATAAAATTAAATTTAATAAAATCTTAATTTTTTAAAATCTGATTTTTTAAAATTTAATAAACTTTAAAATAAAATAAATTATTTTATTTGTATATAATATTCATTTTATATAAAAATTTTAGTTCTATTCTTTAATATAAAATAATTAATTTTTTTATTATTTAATATTTTATTACACTTTTAAAAAAGTTAAAAGTTATTTTATTTTTTTAAAAAAAATTATTATTATACATTTTTATTTATAATTAATAAAATTATTTTTAAAATAAATTTTTTAATTTATAAATAATAAAATTATTTAAAATTAATAAAATAATGATAGCTTTTATTATTAAATAATTATTATCTTTAAAATATATATTATATGATAAATAGAAATTTGAATTATCTTAAATAAAGATAAGTTTAATATAAATAAAATATATCATTATATTATAAATAAATTTTTTTATTAAAGTATGTTGTCTTATTGATTAATTTTAAATTATAACTATTATTTTTTTATCTTCAAATCATTAACAAACTGAATGATATTAATAATATCTAAATATTTTAAAATAATTTATATATTGTAAATTAAGAAATCATAAAATATTATATCATATAATATTAGTAATAAAAAGAAAATATTTTAAAGAAACTATGATGTCAGAATTTTTAACTAATAATGTTTTAAAATTTTTTTATCATATGATTAATAATTAATCAATAAAAATAAGATATTAATCATTTTTTTTTGTATATTGTTTTAAAATTATAATAAATCAAACTAACATTATGATTTATTACTATAATATCAAGTCGAATAATCATAAATTTTAATCAATAATATATGTTCAAATTCAAAATAATCATATAAAAATTATTCAATTTTAAATGTCTATAACTTTTTATATAGAATTTATTTTAAAAACTGATTGGTAATTTAATAGAACTTATTTTAAAAAATAAAAAGATACCAGTTTATTTTATATTATTAAATATAAACTTTTTGCATCATATAACATTAAAAGATTAAAAAATAACTAATTAAATAAAAAGTGATAATAGATAATAATTAAGCCAAAATCATATATTATAAGATATAAATTATATAATATAAAATAAAAGTCAAATTACATAATAAGTAATATAAATATATTATAAAATACAGATAAATTATGAGATATAAAAGAATAAATTACTAAAATTATAAAGAAAGAAAATAATAAATAAAACTTTTGTAATAAAAAAAAAGAAAATAACCTATAAATATATATGAAGATTATACATAAACTCAATAAAAAAATCAAAAGAAATAAATTTATAAAATACTTATATAATTTATATTACTAAAAGAAAATTAATGAAAATAATTAAGAATAAATATGAATATATATATAAATAATAAAGAAAAAAAAGAATCATTATATAAAATATAAGAAACATAAAAGAATGAAAAAATAATTATTAAAAATGAAGAAAAAAAATAATATCTAAAAATAGAAATAATATAATAATAATATTATAATAATATAGTGATTTTTAGAAATAAAAATATAAAATGATAGAAATAATAGAAATATAAAAAATTTTAAAAAATAATTAGTAATTTAAAATAAATGGAAGGGGATCAGTAGAAAAAAGAAAATCTACTTTTTAGTTAAAAATTTTTTATTGATTCACTCTGCTGAGTATGGTCATATGAACAAAATTAGCTTAATAACTAAAATTACTCAAAATTTGTAGATTTTCTCTTTTCTATTGATCACCTTCCAAATATAACATAATAATAAAAATGTTAGAGAAATT